CCCCCAAACAGTTGCAAGAAAATATTTGATAGAATAATTTCAGGTCTCAGTCACGCTGATTGAGTGTGAGCAGATACACAAGATGTTGGATAAACCAACTGAAGGTGAGGGGTCTACCTGCAGATTTTTGGGGAATCTCCACCAAAAACATGTGATCTCAACTAAACTTCTGTTATGAAAATTAAGATGTTCACATCCTATCCAGAGAGCGTTCTCATTTCAAAACTAGAAAATGATTGCCTGACTCTTGGAAAGCTCTCTGTAAGACGTTTGGTCTGTAGGAGACCAAACTATCTCTCTGCGAGCCCTAAATGCTGCTACATATTTGGACGTAAGAAATAGTTTCTTTTTGACATGGTTGTATGTTGCAAGATGGTCTTTTTTGCATTGACATTTTTTCTTCACTCAAAGAGAAACTGTAATGAAAACTCTACGTTAGGTCTGTCCTTCCTGCAGCACGTCATTAACAAACAGAACCAACGACACTGTGACAGTACAGGTGGCAGAGTGAATGTTTATCTTCATTTGATGGTGGAGAGCTGGTATTTCTGTTGTTTACTAAGGAGAAATGCTGTTTTACCACAGCCATTTCCAACAGACAGGTACGACATGGAGTCCCTTACACATCAGGGCTGAGGCACACTACCTCAGGGATATAACAGTCATGGAGAGCCGCCGGTGTCTCTGCGCTGTCTCTTATATGCACAAAACATTGCTATCTCTTTCCTTGAGTTCTTTGACTATCTTTATTAGTTTTGCCAGAACAGTTAAAAGCAGTCTCAGCCAGCAGAGCCTCTGCAGAGCAGGAAAAGCAAAATGAAATCAGTGTAGTTCCTGTTTTCCCACATAAACATGCCCACAAAGTTCTGACGTATCACACAATACTTGGCCCCTACCCTAAGATAAAACAAGTCTGCCAAGAGCTTCTGCACAGAACCGGTTCTCYTGAGGGGATGTGGGAAGATAAAAATACAATTCTCGTCATGCAGTCACGTCAACAACAAAAAAGTCACTTTTCTTTGAACATACATCTACCTTCAGTTTTGTTCACTGAGACGTGATCTTCACTCACTGGGCCTCATGCAGGAACATGTTCGTATTCTTATCCTAAATTTCTCTTACTTTTGTTCGTACGAACA